CAGAGATATGGAGGGTGAGAGGATTCACCAGAGACAGAGTGGGGAGCAGAACAGGCAGATCAATGAAGTACACTGCTGAGGGGAGCAGCAGATGGGTCAGGAGAGGTCTGCTGCGCCATGTGGGTCACCTCCAGGGCAGGCGGGGATCGAACTCATGTGGAAGTGGCTTTAGCTTCTTAGTGCTGTGCTTTAACCTGCTGCACTACCAGGGAAGGCCAGGAGGTATATATGTTATCAAAATTTTTTGACTTTTTTTTTTTAAAAGGTATGCACAGTCATAATAGTTTTATTTATAATAGCTAAAATAGAAAAAGCTACACATTCTTCTGTGAGTAAATGATTATACAAACGACATATCCATATAATGAAATACTGCTTGATAAGTAAAAGGAAAGAACTCTGACACATGCAACAACCTGGGTGATCTTCAGAGAATCTCCAAAAGAAACATGATTCCATTTACATAATCTTGATAAATGACATTATAAAAATAGAAAACAGATTATGGGTTTTTAGGGGTTGAGGATGAAGGAAAGAGGGTTGGGGGAAAGTGAATGTGGCAATTTGGGGGCCGCGTCAGGAATCTTGTGAAGGAAAAGTTTTGTATCTTGACTGTCATTTGCAGTGTCCTGATTGTAGTAGTGTACAATAGTTTTGCAAGATGTGACCACTGGTAGAAATACAGAATCTTTCTGTATTATTTATTACAACTGCATGTGAATTCAGTTATCTCAATTTTTTAAAATTGAGGTATAGTTAATATATAATGGATTATTGATAGTATCACATTGTGACTTGATGTTTGTATACATAGTGTGAAATCATTACAATATATCTAGTTAACATTCTTTAGACATAGTTGCAGTTTTTTCCTTGTAATGAGAACTTTATGATTTACTCTTTGGGATTTTCACATAAGCAATATAGTATTGTGAATTATAGTTACCATACTGTATAATTCCATGACTTATTTTATAATTGGAAGTTTGAACCTATTGGCTACCTTCATTCAGTTTGCCTACTTCCAGCCCCCACAGCTTTTCCCACCCTAATCCCCCCATTCCCACCACCAACCTCCAGTCTGTCCTCTGTATCTTTAAGTGAACCACAGTTTTTTGTCTTTGTTTGTCTGACTTGTTTTACTTAGCATGATCCCTGTGTAGTAACTGGCAAGAGTTTCTTCTTCTTCTTCTTCTTTTTTTTTTATAAAGATTTATTTATTTATGCATACAGAACTGGGGTACAGGCCAGAGGTTCAAGGGCGGCAAGAGGATTCACCAGTGACAGAGTGGGGAGCAGAACAGGCAGATCGACGAAGTACACTGCTGAGGGGAGCAGCAGGCGGGTCAGGAGAGGTCTGCTGCGCCATGTGGTCACCTCGGGGCAGGCGGGAATCGAACTCATGTGGAAGTGGCTTTAGCTTCTCAGTGCTGTGCTTTAACCCGCTGTTCCACCAGGGAGGGCCTCTTCTTCTTTTTTAATGGCGGAATAATATTCTAGTCATGTGTTCTTAATGACATTTCAATCAGTGACTGACTTAATAAAGAATGATGATCCCAATAGGCAATCCCATCTAGCGTAAGTGTGTAGTTTTCTGTGTCATTACACGTTGTGATGTTAATACCACTATGAAAGGTCTTAATAATGTACTTCTCAGATTTTATCCTTGCTGACAAGTGACACATGATTGTATAGTTACCACATCAAAATAAAAATTTTAATTAGATATTAATTGAAAACTTATGTGCCAGGAACTGTGCTAATTTTTGAATATTCAATGTTGAGCAAAAGTGGACAGTGCCAAGCCTTATGATACACTCTAGAGGGGAAGACAGACATTAAATAAGTAATCAGAGAAAGAGTTATATTACAATGGTCAGGAGTGCTGTAAAGCCATAAAACAAATGTTAACTGAGTTAATATGTAATATGTTTGGGATAGTGCCTACCATGTAGTAAATGAGGAACTTGTTAAATAAATAAAGGAGGGTTTAATGTGAGTCTGAAGAATGAATAAGGTAGTTATTAAGATGAAGAGAAGAAGGCGCGTTCCTGGCGGAGGGAACAACAAAGACCCTGAGACATGAAATAAGAGACAGGCTGGTAGGACTGAGAGATGGAACATCATCCAGTGTAGAGTAGTAGTGGGCCCCAGATGAAACTGAGAGCTGGGCAGAGGCTAGGCTGAATGTGACTTGTTTGCTGTCTTCCAGTTTTGGTCTAAGGATGGTGAAAAGTGATTAACATTTTAATTCATGGAGTGGGGAGTGGTTATTGACCATACTTGCTTTCTTTGAAAAGCAAGACAAGCTGACTGCTGTGTCGGTGATCAGATTAGAGGGGGATTTGGCTGTATATAGGGAGGCTGTTTAGAAATACACTGTAGTGAACCAGGCTTTTATCTTTGGAATTTTTAATAATTAGCTGTAATCTTTATAACTGCAAGAATATATTTGCAATGTAGAATGTGTCTAACAAATTATTTTGAAGTGGGTTTAACACTTTTTTGGACAAGAGGAAACAGTGACAAGTGACAGACGCATTACTCTAGATACCACATCAAAATAAAAAATATCAGTATTGCTCTTTGTCTTTTTTTTCCCCCTTTGATATGCAGACTACTGTGTTGTAATTTAAGTGTTTTTTGGTGGGTAAGCCTAGGAATTGAATGTAGAGTTTAAAAGCATTTAACACTAGTATATGCTAGTATATGTATTTCCATATGTTACCATAAACTTTTGAATATTTTATAGTAGTGCTGTTTAATCGAAATATTTGTGCTGCAGATGCTAGTCACATGTATAATTTAAAATTTTTTGGTATCCACATAAAACTTTTTTTTTTAAATGAGGTGGTTCATTTAAATAACATTTTATTTAACCTAGTTTTCTACTTGAGGTCAATATAAAATTGTTAATGAAATAGTTGACACTCTTTTTTCATATTAAGTCTTAGAATTTCATTGGGTATTTTATACTTAGAATACAACTGAATTTGGTTAAGCTACATTTGAAGCCATTACTGCTCTTTGAGATAAGCACTATAGAATTAAAAATAACTTGTTTTAACTGATTGAATTTATAGAAATAGTAACCCATGCAGGCCTGAGTGCAATAAACTTTGAAATGGGTTCAATTGCTCTCATTAAAAAGATCTGGAGTCCAGATGTCTTAGAGATGTCAGTGAAATTAATGTTTAAAAATATTTTGAGAGCTGAATTTTTAGTTATCACAGCTTTTCAGGAACTTTAAGGATAAAGTGGAGGAGACATGTTGGAACTTGCTAGTCAAACTCCCAAATACACAGAAAGGTTTGATTATTTTAGGGTTTTCTCATTGCTGTGTAATGTTTAATGTTCACTGATACATATATATGTATGTATGTGTGTATATATATATATATCCCCAATATATTAAGTCTTATCAGCATGTAAACAAGTGATGAAAAGAATGTCTTTGCAAATCTTAGCCTATGTGTTTTGATATTCTAAAATTAATTTGATTCTTGAAAATGCTTTTTAGGGAAAAAAAGCCGTTTGTCTATTTACTCAGCAGTCACAACATTAATTTGGTGCTTCTAGGAACACTACAGAATTCTTTGTATAAACATCATTATTCTGTTTTAGCAATTAAATATAAAATTCTTGCTTTTATTAGTATATCCTGAAAAATCTCAGTATATTATAATAGTCTGTCTTTGGGAGAAGTAACCATAAAACTCATAGAGTTGTACTTTCTCTTTGTAACTTGGGTACTAGTTTCTCTCATGATCATAGTTTACTATAGATTAATTCTATAGTAAAGAAGATTTGCTTATTGGTAACTGAATATATTTCCATTTTTGATCCACTGATTGAATAAATAACTTGACATTTTGATATTTATTGTCCAAATAAATACCAAATATACTGCCAGATGCTTGAATGTCCCTGAGAATAGGGAACTCTCATAACTTTGTCTTCTCTGAAGTGGTCTTTAAAGTAGGAAATTTATATACTAAATATATAAAAAATTATTATCTAGTTTATTTTTCGAAATTACTGTAATCTGTAACAATTTTTTTAACTATTGTAGCTCTTTGAAGATATTTTTCCATGTTCAGAAGACATATTTACTGGAGAGTAGTAGATTGTCTTAAAACACTTCAATTTTAGTCCTAAAATTCAACACTGAAATTGGAATATGCATAGTTCCATTCATCCTTTATTTTCCATATGTACTTACTGTGACATGCCTAGTATTCTTACAAGTGTTACTAGTTTGACTGCTTTTATGACTGTACCTTTCAAGTCCCACTTGTTAACATTTAACATCTATTACTAATGTCACCACATTTATGTTCAACTCTCATTTTGCTGTTGAGCAAGTAGGTAGGTTTATTTTAAAAATCAAACAATTTAGGAGTATAGACAGAACAAGGAAAACATGCTTATTTAGCACTGTAGGTTCAAAACATTTTAAAACAATTCATAGCATTAACAAACTGGAAAATTGATACTTATCATATTTTCAATGGTTGATATTTGATTTTGGGCTCAGACAATTTTAAATTTAAAGTGATAAAGAAGAATGTAATTAATGCTTTAAAACATTTAAAATTATAGTATTGATATTTTAAAATTAGTACTTGCACCTGATAAAATATTCAAAAGGGACAGATTCCCTTTAGACTGGATATTTCAGCCATTTTGTTTGCTTCCCTATGGACAACTTGCTTGGAAATTTCTCCACAGCAATTATACATTGTATTTCTTCTACCTTTTTTTTCTTTTGGGAACCCTCACCCTCACCCATATATTGTAGTATGCTATAAATGCTGCTCTTTGTTTTTAATTTAACTATTGGTACTAGAGATTGTTTTATACTACTATCTGAAAAAAAATCTTCATTTTTTTTACAGCTGCATAGGGAGAATAGAATTGCTAAATCATCTTATGTTAAACTAGATGATTTATATTATATGTTGGGAAAATGTTGAAACCATTTTTTCCCCTTTTTTCAGATAATCAGACAGCTAAATGGAGTCTGAGCAGCTGTTCCATAGAGGCTACTATAGAAACAGCTACAACAGTATAACAAGTGCAAGTAGTGATGAGGAACTTTTAGATGGAGCAGGTGTTATTATGGATTTTCAGACTTCTGAGGATGACAATTTATTAGATGGTGACACAGCAGTAGGTAAGTTTGCCATTACAACTCTTAATATTTGTAGTCATGAGTATCCACTAATAAAATATACATTGTTTTATTGAGGTTCAGTTTTGTGGTAACTTTTTAAAAAATCGAGGTGAAGTTCATGAAGCTTAAAGTAACCATTTTAAAGTATACAACTCAGTGGCATTTAGCACATTCAAATTGGTATGGATCTATCACTTCTGTCTGGTTCTAAACACTTCTGTGCCAAAAACAAACCTTGTAGCAAAAGAAAACTGTGCATTTGAGTAGAATTTAAAGTAATAGAGATATACAGTTATATTAGTCAGGGTTCTCAGAGTAACAGAACTGGTAGGATATAAACAACATGGTTAGAGGCTAGCTCATGCAATTGTGGAGGTTCAGATCTACCATGATAGAGATCTGCAAATGGAAGTCCAGGCAAGATGGCGGTATAGTTCAAATCTGATGACCTGAGATCTACGGGAGCCAGAACTGAAGTCCCAGTGTAATTCTAAAGTCCCAGAACCAGGATCGCTGATGACCAGGGCCAGAAGCTAATTGTCCCACTGCCAGTAGATAGCAAATTCACCCATTCTGTCACCATCCTCAGCTGTTTGGATGATCCCTACTTTTTTTGGTGAGTCATCTTCCTTTATTCAGTCTACCTGTCAAGCCTGCCAGCTATCTGGGCATCACTTAGCCCAGTCAAGTTGACACATAAAATTAACCATCCCAACAGTCATCAGATTGTAAGTGTGAAAATTGGTGAATTTCTACAGAGTGAACATAATCATGTAGCTACTTTTTTTTTAAAGAAAATATGATTTTATATATTAATTTTTATTTCTAAAAATGTTAGAGTTCTTAGACTGGAAAACACTGTAAAACAAGGCCTGCCTGGTTAATTTGGTAACCTCCAAATTAATCTTCATGACTGCGATATTCTTCTGGTCATAATTTCGAAACCAGGGGGCATATGGAAACTCACCTGTCATGTAACTACTTTTCAAAAAAAAAATAAAACATTACCAACCTACCTAGAAATCACCCTGTTCCCCTTCCAGTTTTAAAAGTAACTATTATTTTGATGTCTGTTACCATAAATTAGTTTTGCAGGTGTGCAAACTTTATATAAAATAGGATTTTATATATATGTGTGTGTGTGTGTGTCTGGCAGGTGTCATTTACTTGAAATTTAAATATGTTGGTGAATATAGCAATGGTGAATTTATTTATGCTGTCATGTAGTATCCCATTGTGTTAATGTGCTGAAATTCTGTCTATATATTGTTAATGGATGTTTGGTTTTATTTATTTACAATCAAATTTGGCTGTTAATGCTGCTGTGAATTTTCACTACCTCTATTTTAGTGCATATTATATACACAATTTTGTGGGCTCTTGGAGTGAAAGTAGTTAATTATAAGCTACCATATACAGTTAGATATTTCTGAGTGGGAGATTTAATTAGAACTAATGACCTCTTCCTCAAAAGATGACATTAAAAGAGTGAGAAGGCATACCACAGAGTGAGTGGAGACATTTATAACACATATATCTGACAGAAGACATAATCAGAACAATAAATGGGCAAAATAGGCCCTTCAAAAGAGGTGAGGTAATATAAAAAGTCCATAAGCATACGGAAAAGCATTTAAACTCATAAGCCATCAGACAATGTAAATTAAAACTGAAATTTAAAGACTACTGCACCCATAATAGAAGGGTCAAATTTTAAAACTGGTAATGCCAACAATTGGTGAGGATGTGAAACAACTAAACTACTCTCATGCAGTTTTGTGGTATGCCTACCTGTTACATTGAAATATTTGTCTATCCTTACATCAAAAATGCAACATCGATAATGAGTTTTGATTTTTTACATGGGTCTCTTATTGATTAGTAGTCCATTTATATTTAATGTTGTTATTCATATATTTGCTTTCAAAGCTGGCATCTTTCTATTTGCCACATGTTATTTTTTTTCTGTTCTTCCCTATAACTTACCATTCTCTTACATTTGGTGGGTTACTCTAGTAGTTATAACATCTACTCCCCTTATTCTATAGGTTACAGTCATGTATTGGGGATACATTTTGAGAAATAATGTTAGGTGGCTTCATAATTGTCTGACATTGTAGAGTGTACTCACACAAACCTAGATGGTATTGCCTCTCATACATCTAAGTTCTATATAGATGTATGCATTGCATTGTTGTTTGCATTGTTGAGTGAAACATTGTGTTGTGGTGCATGACTACTCTTATACTGCATGGGACATGTAAGGTTTTTAAGAGTACCTTTTGTCCCTCCTGCTTTTCATGTCTTATTTGCTCTCTTTTTAAATTTTCCATTTATTTTAAAACGCATAAGACATTATTGTTTGTTGCAGTCAATGTCTAGTTAGACTTAGCTGTTTTTTTTTTGTAGTTTCTCCATTATTTTTCATAATTCACTGCATTTTCATGTCTGAGTTATCTTTGTACAAAAGAAATCTCGTCAGCATTTCTTCTATTATCTATCAGTAGTTAAGTTCATTCAGTGTTTTTCTTTTTTCTTCACACCCTGCCTTGAGATTTGCAGTCTTTTTTTTTTAATTAAAATTCATTTAATGAAGGACAATTGTTTCACATCCTTGTTCATATTTTGACAAGATTTCTCCCTTCAGGTGTGATTACTGTAACTCTTCTACCACCAAAGAACCCGTAACCCTCCACCATAGTCCATTATACAGCTCCCAACCACCAAGTTCACTTTTTTTTTTAAAAGAAAGTCTTTGTTTTACCTTTATTTGAAGGTTATATTTTTGTAGCCACATTCCAGATGTAATTTACAGTTATCTTCTTTGAACATTTTGAAATTGTGATTCTGGTGTTAGCCTTCTGTTATTTTTGTTGAAAAGTCAGCAATCAGTCTTAACCTCCCAACCCCCATCCCAATCCTTATTTGGCTGTTTGAAGACATTTTTCTTTGTGTTTGGTTTTCAGAAGTTTAAACAGATTATGTCTAAGTATGTTTTTTTGGGGGTATTTATCCTAACAGGTTATTAGAGTTTCATGAATTAAGATTTGACTTTATTTTTCCTCTTTGGATAATTTTGTCCAGTGTATCCTGGACAACAACAAATGTTGTTTTTGCCATTTTACTCTCTTCTTTTAGGACTCTAATTAAATGTATCAGTTCTTTTCACTAAGACCCTCTTGTTGCTTAAACTCTATTCAGTATTTTCTATTCTTTTTTTTTTCTTTTCTTTTTACCTGAATATTTCATCTCACTTGGTATTGCATTACCAAATAATGCAATAACTGGATTGTTTGGTAAAAATATGTTTAGTTTTGTCAGAAATTGCCAGCCTTCTGAAGTACCTGTACTATTTTACATATCAGTGGGAGTTTCTGTTGCTTCACGGAAGTGTCAGCATTTATTGTCTGTATTTTGGATTTTACCTATTACAATAGTTGCCTAGTGGTATCTCATTTTCAATTAAATATTTTAGTTTTTTTTTCAGGCTTATAATTTTCATTTGACTAGTTATTTTATATAGAAAGATTTCTTTATTCTTGGGTTCTCTGTCTGATTTTTGGGAATGCATTAAGGTCCATGTCTGAATATTTTAATATTAGATCACCACCGTGTCTGTTTTCATTGCATTATTTCCCACCTTTTGACTCTAATGCCTGTTAGCTTTGTAATTTTTGATTTAATCTTGGATATTTTAAGCAAAAAATTACAGTTTCTTTGGATGTTGTCATCACCAAATTATACTTAATTGATTTTACTTGTCAACAGGGAATCTTAAGAGCAAATTACATTGATTAGCTTAAAGATTGAGAAAGTTTGCCACATGGTTTCAGACTTCTGAGAGTTAGGCTATTTTTGGCTTATTATTATTATTGCTAATGATGTTTTTAGTGATAAGTTTGGTGTGATTACCACGACATTTTCTGTCTGATGAGCACTGACGTTCAATTTTTAGTTCCCTGGCATTTTGAGACTACTGACAGTTCTAACCTATCATTGTCTCTTAATTGCTGCTTTTTGCCTAATTTCTCAGTCTTTCCTCATGCACTTTAGAAATTATATGCTTAAGGAAAACACATATTGGAATGAGCCTTTTTTGTCCCTTTTTCTGAAGTATTGACTTATATTAGTCCATTTTGCCTTGGTGTTTTGGAATGTGTTGTGTGTGTTTTTTTTTTATTGACACCATGTGATTGCTAGAAACTCTCAATCTTCACTTTTTTGCTGGGCTTCTTAGTATGTACTTGTGAATCAGGAGATCACTCAAAGCCAAAAAATGGTTGAGACTGTTAAGTTCATAGATATCAGGAAAAGTTTATTTAGTGTGTCTTAGTGTCTGGACAAGTGGAAGTAAACAGGAGAACAAGCAGTTGGGTATTAAATACTTTTTCATGACTAATTATTATTTAGTATACCAAAAAAAGGTTATTATTAATCACTGGAAATAACTATAGTGTTTTTGGCATATGGATTGAATGAATGAATGTTACATTCCATGACTTTCAAAATTGTAGATCTGAATTTACATCCTGACTTTGCTAGCTCTGTGACTTCTGCAAGTCGCTTAGCATTTTTATACCACCTTGGTTTTGTCCTCTTTAAACAGTGGTAGTACTTTTTAAATAATCACTCGGAAAATTATATAGAGACTTTGACATATAAGACATGTATGTAGAATCTTTAGAACAATAACTGGCTTTTGTGGTAGGACTGAGCTAAGTATATGAATGCCCCTTTCCCTTTAGATGTATTAGATCCTGCCCCATCAACTCTAAGCAATTTCCTTTTGTTTGTCATTCAAGTGAAATGTCAGAAACATTTATGGTAATACTTCAAAAAAAAAGAAAGGCTATAACTAAAATTCTATAACTTCTGAATTAGATGACAGCCACTTTGGACTCCTGACTCTAGCATATAATAGAGTTAGTTGTTTCTTGCTCTTGTTCTGAAAATAATGTAAAGAGATGGACTAACTAATCTCAAAAATGTAATCAGTGTTA